TATTTCAGACAAGAAAACTTGTGCCACTTCTAATGGTCCCTTTAGGAGGAGAAGAGGAGAAGTAAGTTTCTCATAGTCAACCATGGGAGAAGCTTCTTGCACACAGAAACACCCATAAAATGCAACGTCCCCCTAAACCCTGAAGAACTGCAGCTGGTCAGTGTGCCCTAAATCACCAAACCCCGTGACAACCGCATCTCTTTTAGGCTTTCTTTTGGTTTTAAATAAAACTCTGCTGTTGGAAAGCAGTGTGAGAAAACGCACCGATTCTCCACTTGTTTTCTCTTATAAGGACTCCTGACAAAGTTTGCTCAGCTCACAACTAAGGCAAAGTTTAAACAACACAGACGGACTATGGAAGTATTTGCCAGCACTGCAAACTCAAGCCAGAACTTTAAGCTCCAGCTGATTCCTATTTTCCAGCTTGTGCATTAGCAAAGCTTTGCTCATTCCCCATCACTTTTTCCTCAGTTTTTCTCCATTCACTACTTTTGCTTTCCACTTTGCTCATAACCCACAACAGGACATAATGTTATTTCCACCCACCGGAGCCTGGCTAACCAAAGGGAAAGCAGTAAAACATTTTGGTTTGGGGTTGTTTGGGGTTTTTATGGGAAGAGAAGCAGGCAGAACCAACTGTGAATGCCAGGAAGGAGCAGGTAACTGAGGGAGGGCTGTCTCTTTGCAACCACTTTTCAGACCTGATTACGTTTCCAGGACTCTTAAATGACAAAGTCACTGACAGCAGCTGGTCTAAACCTACCAGTGACCTTAAACACATCCCATACATTGAATGGGGAGAAAAAGGTAATTTAGGAATAATGCCCAATGCTGAACATCCACTACATTGAGAGATACGTACTACCCCAGTGTCTCCAACTCAGCAATGCTCACCTGATTTACTGTGGTACCTACTGATCCTTGCAGCACCATCTGAAGCATCTTTGGGTCTGCAGGGTCTTGGTGGGTTGCAAAAGCTAATTCCTGTGTTTTCTTCTGCATGTCCTCTATGGCAACTTCAATGGGTGTCAAAATGATCTAAGCAAGTAGCCAGAATAGAGAATTGTTATGGTTGAGACTGCCAACCATAGACTGCAGAGACACCAAGGTCACTTTGGGGAGGCACGCTGAAGTGGTGGAAGACACCAATAAGACTGACAGCAGCACTTCAGGAATGCATCACCTCAGTCTTGGTTTAGGAACATGAAGGCAAAATTTGACTTTTAAATGTGTTCCTACATCTGGGTGCTCAAGAGCTTTCTGAGATTGCTTCTGGGCAGACGGACTTGTGCCAACTGCGACCAACTGCCCAGGGTTACAGCACTATGTCGGTGCCCAAGCATTTTGTATCAGGTTGAGTGAGTGATCACATCCCTCCCTTAAAAAATTAACACAGCTATGGGATAAATCTCTCTATAAACCCTCAGGACCTCACTCATGGCTGAGGCCATGCAAGTGAGCTGCAACACAGAGCAAAGGACACACTGTTCAAGCAGAGTGGAAGGGAGTAACACGCGTCACTACAAAGCTCACCAGGGCTCCTGCATAGACCAGCCACTGTGGTCTGGACATGCTAGTGAAAGAGGTGGCAGGTCATGCTGCATTACTAAATTGGTCTGGGTTTTCTTTAGGTTGAATAGGAACAGGGAAAAGTTCAAGAAACAAGGCATTTTTAAACTCAAACTGAGGAGTCTCATGCACAGTCATAGAATCACAGAATGGTTTGGGTTGGAAAGGACCTTCAGATCATCCAGTTCCAACCCCCTGCCATGGGCAGGGACACCTCACACAGTCCCTGCAGTGAACAGCCTGAGCAGCTCGTGATGGAGCTGTCTGCTCTCACTCAGCTCAACTCCTGCATCTTTAAGAGAGATGTAAAAGGTAGGTCAGTGATGGCCAGGAGGACCCATCCGTGTTACTGTCACAACAGTACATCACGCATGAGTTTCAGCAGCATCCACCTCCTTCAGTGATGTGCAATACTTCCCTTCAAGCCCCTGAGAGCTCGGGCCTCACCTCCTCTTTGTGAATGACGTTGATCCTGGTTTTGATGTAAGGGAAGGCGTGGGACGTGGTCAGGATGGTTTTGCGCTTGAACTGCTCGTGCAGCTCGCCGTGAGCGCGCCCGTCCAGCGTGAAGGGGGTGCAGTACATGAAGCGCCGCAGGTTGTAGTTCTTGTCGAAGTACGTTATCCTGTCCTTCATCTCGTACGTGTCGAAGTAGGGCTCCACGTAGGTTATCTGAATGTAGGCCTGCAGGGAGGAGCCCGAGTGTGCACGGTGAGGGGCAGGGCCCAGAGAAGAGCTGACTCCTGCCCTCCGACATTAAGCAGCGCAATAACCCAGCTTGATCTCTTCCCTCTTGAAGACACCTCTGGAATAACTCGGAAAAATCACTCTCCCATTGACAGGGCTCAGACGTTTCTGGACTGCAAGAGATACACTTCACTGCCCCTCTTCCCTCACGGTCTTCAAATGCCCTCACAGGGAAGAGCTTCTGCCTAAGATCTCATCTCAGTCTCCCCTCTGTCAGTTCAAAGCCATTGCCCCTTGTTCTGGATGCGCCCCATTACGTTTGCATACATTCAGGACCTGTTCTACTTCTCTGAACGTGTACGTGTGTTCTTACCTTGTTAGGATCTAGTTTACATTTGTCCACAGGGTTTGAGTCCTTAATCACTTCAAGCACGTCTTCCCCAAACCGTTCTCCGTAAAATCCCTACAATCAAGAGCAAAAAAGCATTGAAAGAAAACATCAAATGCAGTCATGAGAGATGGGGGTTGCAGAGACAAAGGCATATTCAGGGGAGGTGAAGCTCCACAAGCCTTCAACAGTGTCAGTGCTGAGGCTGAATGTGATCTGCTGAACCCAGGAGAACTGAATCAATCACATTCCAGGGGCAACAGGAAAAAACAAGCCTAATGCCCTGGAAGGCAGGAGAACTCGGGAGCCTTCCAGCTGCACACACAGAGGCTGCACGGCTCTGAACAAGCCATTTGAGCTCGCTGGGTGTCTGTGAGCTCACTGGGGTCAGAGTGGGATCCGCCGGGAACGAGGTGCCGCATCAGAGCACGGCTTTGCTGAGCTGGGGGAACGGCCAGGTTCTGAACTCAGTCTCATGTGCTTAAACCTCAGACAACGTGACAGCAGCTGAACTGTTGTGAGCAACAACAGGACACTGGATCTATCACAGCAAATAAAACAGGGAAACAGGGCCCACTCTGCCCTTTGGCCCTAATGAACAAGGTGCATGGCATGGACCAGACCCATGCTGCTGAACGCTCTTCCTCTCCCACTGGGAATGGCCTCATCAGTGCACTGTGCTCACTGGGAACACTCTCTGGCCTGTGATGTACCCCAGACTGTGCTAGGACATTGTCTAGACACAGGTTAGCTGGCACAGAACCAGGACAGGCTGACTGGTGCGTGGTACAGATGATCACTGGTGGTACCAGGAGCTGCACTCAAGCCCCATTTCTATTAACAGAGTTGCCTTTACTTGTTCACAACTGAAACACACTTCAGACCTGTGATGTCCCACCTCAGCGGCTCTGAAATTCAGGCACCTTAGAGGGCCTGATGTCCCATCAGTAGAGGAACATGATGTAAAGGCACCACAATGACAGCAGAATGCAATACTTTCTGAGCGTCAGCTCCCAAAAGGCATCCCAACTTACACCAGGTGGCAGAAGGGAAATGCAAACACTGTATAACACACCACAAACCCTCCAATGATCACAGCAGGTCTGCAGCTCTTGCTGCAAGATCAGGGAAACCTCTCCCTGCATTACTCCTGCCTCCTGCAGAGGTGGCACTGGCAAGAGGACAGGAAGCATCAGCTCTGGGTCACTGCATGGGCTCTGCAAACTGTATTGCCAAGAGGCTGTTTCTCTGAGCTCAGCCCTGCACCAGCTGCAAGGGGCTGGTTTTGCCCAGCAGCTTCCATTTCCACCACTTCCTGTAGGTTGGCAATGCAAGGAAGTGATGCAAAGCGGTCCAAGTGCAACGCACAGACACGATCATCTCACCTCGAGCCTATGGGAAATCTCAGCTAACTTTGTTATGGCGGGCTCCTTGTAAACAAACTCTTGCTCGTCCAGGTCTCCAAATTTAGTTCCATAAAAACCAACCCGGAAGTAGGTGCCAAACATCCTCTTTCCATCCTAGGTTTGGAGAAACAAGAGGTTATTTCAGTGTGGAGACAGGAGTACCCCCAAGCACGGCTGCAGGCAGGCTCCTGAACTTATGCAAAATGAAAAAGAAATCAAATAAACCAAGGAAAAAAAACAGAGAGAAAGAAGGGAAAGAAAACCACACCTGGAACTCAGCATGAATGCGTTTAGCAGCAACACCGCAATGAGGTTGTAACTCACATGAAATCATATGGATCAGTTACGACCATGAGCCCAACCCTGCAATGACTTCTCCCACCCCAGAAGCCTGGAGGTGTCAAACGCCTCTGAGGAACAAAGCAGACCCCTTTGTTTGGGTGGTTATTTCAGGCTCTCCAAATCCTCTGCAGGCCTTTCACAGAATCACAATCCATGAGGTTGGAAAAGACCTTTAAGAGCATCCAGTCCAACCATTACCGCAGCGCTGCCAAGGCCACCACTGACCCGTGACACTGAGGGGCTCATGTCCATGGCTTTGAGCTCTTCCAGGGATGGTGACTCCACCGCTTCCCTGGGCAGCCTGTTCCAATGCCTGATCAACCTTTTGGCAGCCTGTAGGCACAGGGAAGCCCAGTTGCAGCAGGCAGGGAGGATCTTAGACACGGGTATCCCTGACAATTCCCACACCAGAGCCCCCGTAATCCACTCCGGAGTAATTGCAGGATTGGGCCGAAGTCAATGTCCAGTTCACTCACACACACACGCAAGTGCTTTGTAAACAGCATGTCAACTGGAAGGTGTTACGTTCTCTTCTAGTATCTAATGTCTAGCAAAGAGGGCCGAAGTCACTCCTGGCGAAAGCAGATGCAATCCACTGTATCATGTACCTGCTTCCCTTTGAGCCAGTGGTGAATTTGGCCCAGAAATGCAACAGAAGGAGAGAGAGAAGAGAGACTTTTGCTGGGAAAGTAACGAAGAAAATCTGATTAAAAAGAAAGAGAGAAGAGAAATGCTTTACAAATACATCACACCTTTGGGTTTGTTAAAACAACTCACGCCACATGCACAGACCAGAAACGCCTTTCAGCAAGAAACACTGGGAATGTTCACCTTTACTCTCGTGACATAAAGTGTGAGGTAGTATTTAATGCTCAATGTTTCTGAATCTGGGCTGGTGTTTGGTTTCAAACAGCACTTACAGATGTCCTGGCTGCTGTGGACCATTAGTTTTTGTTTGGTATTTTGCTATGGCAAAACTGATCTCTTGTGGTGATGGTGAATGCGATCTATGGAAGGCGAAGAGGATAAATGAGCCAAACTAAAGAAGAAAACCCCTCAGGGAATGTGTAGAGGCTGGAAAAAGCATTGTCACAGCAAGCCACTGCCTTCTCCTGGCCTGGAGCACACTGATGCTCAGCCCCCTTCACCCAAGGCACAGCCAGATGGACACATTGCCTTTTTGGGGTGAGGGCTGCTGCTCACCCCAAGCACGTTCAAGAGGGCAAAGCTCTCCAATGCCCCTCTCTGATGTGGAAGTGAAGCCTGAAGTGACCAGAGCCAGCAGCAGCCTTGCTTAATACATACAGGTCACATCTTGGCTTTACTATGGGACAGCCACAGACACCAATCCATCAGCCCTGCTCTGGTAAAAGTGTAGACACATGCTCCAGTCTAAGAAAAGGAGGTGCACCCAGAGATGCTGATATGCTTAATGTGCACAGGTGGCTCCTTGGGCCCCTGCTCCAGCCTGTCCCACTGAGCATCCCTCCTCCAGAGAGGGGCTTCTATCCAGCTCCACCTGCCAGCATAGCCTACAGGGTTTCCTCAGACCACAGCCACCCCCAGGAGCACCTCCCAGGGTAGGAGCCCCAGCTGCAGAGCTATTACTGGTTTACTGGAAGTGCCCATCTGGCCACATCTGGCTGCTGTTTCCCTGGATCCCCTGTCTTTCTCAAATGCCCATTTCTCCGGACTCACACAGGAATGAGCAGCCTATTGAATCCTTAATTCACTCATCACTACCTTTTCAAAGCCACAGTTACCTACACTAAAATCCCTCCAGACCCAGCATTTTCAGCTTCCTCTGCTATTTATTTCAATTCAATGTTACAGGCTGTGACTCCAGGGCTCCTTTCCCAAAGCACTTCCCAAGCTAGCATCATGTCTGCCTTAAGGAGAACTGCCACATGAAACAATTCCCCAGACCTTACATGGGGCTTGGGAACGCTCCCTGTGGAAGTTGGTGGGATCCTGCCCCAACCCATGGGCACAGGGCAGGCCCCAGCAGAGGACACACTGCTGCTCTTCTAATTCATGTGCTTTTTCCTGCCTGCTTGGCAAGTGACTTTCAGGGTAGGAAGCATTTGCAGAACCAGGTCCCTAGAAGGTGTCTGACACATGGGCATCTGCCCAGGCAGCTATTTGTTACAGGCAGTGCTCATTTATGTTGCTGTAAAAACGAGGAGGGAGGAAGAAAATGCTCTCTGTTGATCAGCATAAATTAAGAAGAAGTTCTGGTGGCATTTACTAAAAGCATAAAATCAGAGTAATGGGGCATTGGGAAGTCCCAGGAATGGCAGCAGCAGGGAAGCCTGGTGAGATTCAGTGCCTCTGTGTGAAGGCAGATCCCAACTTAGGCACTTGTTTCATCATCATGAAGATCAGATGCGCTGGCTTTTCCTGATAAATCTACTTGCTAAAACTCAGCCATCATAAGGATCCCAAGGAGAAAAGCAGACAGTGAGAAGCACTGGTTAGCCCCTAAGGCAACAGAAGCATCTCTCCCCTGGATCCATCAGCCATGAAATGTATGGGACTCATGTTGAGGGATGAAACCTGGAAGCGAGGGGATGGAAACAAACTCCTTTGGGAGAGCAAACACCTGGGGGCCATTCCATACCTCGCATAGACATTCTATAGCTGTCAGTTCCCTGAGATGAGGAGAGCTCAGTTTCATGCCTGGCGTTAAGAACATGGGATGGCTCTGAACTAGGATCTTTGAAATTAGCCAATAGCAAACTCTTATCTCATCACAGGATGGAGAGAAAACAAGTAACTTAAAAATACTCCATGGTCTGGTTTCTGAAAAGAGCTACAAATGCAGATACGAGGGAGAAATTATTAAAAGCATTTAATCTCCTATTATTTTATGAAAAAAATAATAGGTCTTTGTGAGGAGAAGAGAATGAAGGTGAACACTGAATAGCCATCACAGAACCGGCAGAGCAGGTAACAGCCACCATGACGTATGAGGGTTCATGATTTGTTATTATGCATGGTAAATACCTTCCAAAATTGCTGGGAATACAGTTTGAGAGTCGTCTCTTGCACGCACACAAAAAGCTTTGCCAACAAAGGGTTGAAAAAGCCAGACGCAAGCGTGATTGTGTCTGCTTTCTTCACCAAGACCAACACAGAAGGCAGAGCCAGCCCAAGTATGTAGGAATAAAAGTAACTCCTCCATACACACTGGGCAGAACGTGAAATCCAACCATCTTTACCAAGCTGGTGATTTTCTTGCTGAATTTTAAGGTCTTTTGCAGTGTTGCCAACTATTACAAGTCTTCTAATACTGATCTTTTGAAAGTACCAGCTCCTGGAGTCCTGCTGTTCAATGGCAACCTCACCCTGCACACTTTAAAAAGCATGTTTCAATTCTCATGGCATAGCATGGAAAGATTTTTCCTAACAACTTTCCTAAGTGGAAAGTAAGCAGAATTAACTCAGCATTTACTCAATGAACAAACACACAAGCAGCAAGCCCCACCGCTTGGTATGTTGAAGCAGGTATCAGAAACGCATCAGTGCTTGTAGTTGGCAACACTATGTTCCTTGCCATACGAAGGGGTAGTCCTGGTGTTGGCAGAGCTCTTTGGCAAAATGAAATTGGGGTTTCCACAGTGTAAAACAAAAAAAAAAAAACAAAAAGGGGAAAAGAGAAAGGGGAAAAACAAAAAAGAAAATTCCACAAGTAGGAACTTACCACAACAGACAATAGTAAGAGTGGGGAGGAGGGTCAGCAACCAGGGCGAGAGAGGAGAAAACAGAAAGTCTTTAATTAGGGAAATTCCAAACAACAAACAAGCAGCAACTTGGCAGCAAATCAACTTGAAAATAAAAAAGGGCCAGCATCAATTAAAATATTTAAAACACGGAGAAAAGGCAAAACATGCAACAAATCTGAAAGCTACAAAGCACAAAGATCAGAAGAAGTGTGGCAATGAAGGAGCACGGTGACAGACGAGAACTGAAACCATGGGTGTCTTTTACCATGCAGTAAAACATGACCGAGTGGTGTTAGCATCATAACCAATGACAGGATTTTCTTCAGGGGTCGATTTAGGGGCAGACTAATCAAAAGAGATGCTCACAGGCCTTCACATTTGTTGGCTATTGAACACTCGTGCAACACGTACTCTGGCTCGCTGCGCTGCCTCATCTGCTGGGACCTTTCAGAGGAACATGTACACTACTTACAGGGCCAGCCCTTAAGTGTCAGGGTTTACTTTTAAGCTGATGAACTGCATTTCTTGCCAGGCCAGAGTTAAAACTGATGTTTAGACATCACCAGCCCAAATGGTTTAAGTCACACAATGAAAGAGAACTTCATTCTCGGTCTCGGTTTAATAAGGGTGGGCTTAAATGCTCCCTGGGGTGGAAACCTGGAGTGAGGTGGCCCACGCTGAGTTGCCCGATTCACAGAAAGCAGAGATAAACTGGACAGCTGAACGCCAAGCAAATAACATCATATTCACAAAACATTTTAAATGTCTTCTGAGACCTCTCAGTGTTCATGTACCCACTGCGTCGACTGCACTAGGGCCCAAGTTACCAAACTGCTGTGTGCATTCTCCAGCCTTGGAGATGTTCAAAGCTGTCTGGACGTAGTCCTGGGCAGCCTGATCAAAGTGGCCTTGCTTCAGCAGGAGAGTTGGACCAGATGACCTTCAGAGGTCCCTCCCAAACCACTCCATGATTCTGTGGATGAATGTGGATGAAGCTGACCACATTGTCTATTTTATAATCCAAATGTGTGGTTCTCATGGTGTATGTTGTAGAAATGTGAGCAAACAGCCTCCACAGAGAAAACAGCGGGCAAACCGACTCCAGTTAACACAACTGAGCTATTTTACTGCCAGATAAACAGCTACACAACAAATTGATTGTTCTTAAATGAACAGAATGAAGCAGCCTCTTCTCTGCGATACGGTCTGTGTATGCAGTAAACCAGCTCTGTGTTTCAGTACCTCTGAGCATTAGTGCTTAAATCGACCCCTGTGGGTGGGGTGAAAATATGGCATGAAGGGATGATATTCTGTGTCAATGCTGATGAAAAGAAATATAAACATATTATAAAAACAAACTAGTGATGATACAGTGGCTCATTCACCAAAGAACCTCATTAGTGGAACACATCAGCATCCATGCACTACCTACAGCTTCTCATGAAGAATTTCCTACAACCACAATCGGTTTATTGGTATTTCTTTGGTTAATGAATTGTTTTAACAGCAGACAGCAACAGAAATACCCACAACTAGCACATGTGGGCAAGCGTTGGCGTGAGTCATCTGAAAAATCTATTAGTGCTCTTTACTAACTAAAATGGAGTTACCTACCTCCCAGCCAGTACTCTGTGTGATAAAAAGTAAAAAGCGCATGTCACAGAAACCAAAGAAAGAGTTTCAAAGGCTAAAACACGACCATCAATGTAAGGTATCACAAACCTCAAATGGTTTCAACGATTACAAGTCATCATGCATCCACAATGCCCTTTTCTGGCCCAGAAGTACACCCAATGGCTGTCCTCTGTTGGTTCATTTAACCTCAGGAACCCAGCAATGCCAGAACAAAACCCCCAGACCCTCAGCTGCATCCTATGAAATCAATGAACTGATCAACATCTACTGAGGAGCTGATAGCAGCTTAGGGGTAACCACACCAACAACGCACCCGGCAGTCCATGACCAGAAGCTGACTGGGGCTGGGGGCTTGGAGCAGCACTGGCATGTACTGGAGGAGGGTTTGCTGAGTGCTTGCCTGCCCTGACAGAAAGGCATGCACCCAACAGGCCTCTCCTAGAAGAGAACATCTGCTTCTTGAAGCTTGCCAAGTGCTCTCCTCTCCTGCCTAGCTGAGGTCTGTTGAGCTTCGTGAGGTTTGGTAACTTCTGATGTCTCTCATGAAACGCTCAGCACCTCAGCTGGTGGGTTTTGCACCATCTAAGCTTAGAAAGGTTCCTTCAATTATTTAGCCACCAAATGAACGGAACAACAAAACCCCAACATTACCTACCAGCTAAAGGCAAGATACAGTAGTTTTTCCCAGCATGCAAAACAGTTTAAAATAGCATCTGAAAGGATAAAGTGGCCAATGATTGGGATTTTTAACTCTTGGACATTTCTTGGTATACGATGTTCTCTCATGTTAAATGTCCAGAGAGAAAAAAATCCTGCTAGCAATCTTTGCATTTACTGTGGATCACCATCTGACAATTCTCATGTAATCTGATTAAAATGCTCTCCTTAATAGACAGGTTTTATTTGCACTGAGCATTTGAAGGAAGGGTCTTTACAATTCACACTGCAGCTGAAAATTCAGACCATTACCTGGTGCACAATCTTGCTGAATGCTTCTTGGAGTTTACCATGAATAGTAGAGAGCTTCTTGGCATCTCTATTAGCTTCATGAATAGGAATAAGGACTTTGTAAACCTCATTAACTGCTTCATACATGCCAGCCTACAAAAAGAAGGTCCATCAATTGCTCCATCAATTCAACAGCAAGAGTAATACATACTATCAGCATTAAAGTATAAAAGTGAAAAGGTGGCTTAGATACCACTGTGATATAATTGGCATCTTTTCTTACAATATACACGTACATGAATGGAATAAAACACTCAGTTACCCCTGAAATCAAGAGTCTACTGCGTTACACATTGCTACTACCAAATATGATTATCACTGGAATCAAACCTGGGATATTTTGGATGGATATGTGCACAAGAGCACAACAGGCTAAACAGAATCCTAATAAAATCTATGAGAATTAAATACAGAAGCTTAAGTGCACAGTACAGGCACACCTTCAACCTAAGTGATTTCTGCATCCACTTTTAGCACTTCATGTGATGGGCCTTATGGAGTTTCCATAGGATGTCTCTAGCAGAGGGGTTCCAGCCCATCGCAGGCAGAGACACTGCATCCCATGGCTCAGCCAGGCCACAGCAGGGATTCTAGGTCTGAGCCCTGGAGTTGTTGCTGCTTGTGCTTAACCCCACCAAATGACATTTCATATTGTGCTGTGGGAAATGATTCACCTGCTTTCCTTGGTTTCTGATGGATACGCTGCTACCAGCCCATTAACACTGCTCACACAGAGCTCTCAACCCACTCTTGTTGAAGAGGAGGAAAACATTACGTCCTTTCTTTACTATTGTGAGCTTCCAAATGTGCAGTGTTGATGTGAAAGACACTGGAAACACACAAAGGCCTCTTGGTCCCAGATCCCACTCTTTGCACAGTTACTCCAGAGGGCAAACTGGGCTGTCTTGAACAACTAAAACTCAAAGGCTCCATCAGACGGAAGCGCTCACAATAGTATTACACAGTCTCATAGAGAAAACATTTTACTTCATGCTGCCCAGCAGTGTAAGACTGCTGAAGAAAACACATAAAGAAATTAAAGTCTTCTACCATGGAGAAAGATGCTGCAGCCTGTTCCAGCAATCCCACCAGACCAGCTTCTGTGAAATACTTTCCAGAGCAGATACCTTCTTCATCTGGTGATACAACATCATCAGAAACAGCCGACTCTTCCAGAACATTGGAAGATATGTTCTAAGGAGACAGAGAAAATAGTTTTACTAATTTAAACAACATTCAACACTTTCAGTACTTTCAATACTTTTCAATACTTTGAAAACCAGTCTGAACATTTTTAGAGGAAGTTTTCATAGCATTTGTTTAATTTCCTTCTGAACCAGCACGGTACTTCAGCACATGCTTAAGCTAATTGGACCAGTCCACCTAAAACCACTCAAAGCTAAGTGTGTGCTTGTTTGCTCTGCTCAGTATTGACCTGCTTAAGATTACTAGTCACAAGAACCATTTTCATCAACTGCACCCACTATACACTGGCTAGATCAAAGAGGTTATTAAAAACCCATGACTTAAATGGAAAAATAAAAATAACTGCATTCACTCAGCCTATGGATGTAAAGATCTGAGGGAACCAAGACAGTCTTCATAGAATCCTAGAATGGTTTGGGTTGGAAGGGACCTTAAAGCTCATCCAGCTCCAACCCCTGCCACAGGCAGGGACACCTTCCACTAGAGCAGCTTGCTCCAAGCCCCTGTGTCCAACCTGGCCTCAAACACTGCCAGGGATGGGGCAGCCACAGCTTCTCTGGGCACCCTGTGCCAGCGCCTCAGCACCCTCACAGGGAAGAGCTTCTGCCTAAGAGCTCATCTCAGTCTCCCCTCGGGCAGGTTCAAGCCATTCCCCTTGGCCTGTCCCTACATCCCTTGTCCCAAGCCCCTCTCCCGGTTTCCTGCAGCCCCTTCAGGCACTGGAGCTGCTCTCAGGTCTCCCCTTCAGGAGCCTTCTCTTCTCCAGGCTGCCCCAGCCCAGCTCTCTCAGCCTGACTCCAGAGCAGAGCTGCTCCAGCCCTCGCAGCATCTCCATGGCCTCCTGAAGTTTTTCAGAGGCTGTTGTAATGCATTCTTCCAGAACAAATCCACTGCAGCACGAGTACATGGGCACAGGAACATGGGGCATATTGTGTGTCTCAGCTGCAGATGACAAAACCCAATTGTCCAATACGGAGGATAATTCCCACCTGAAATGTAACACACCCTACAGGGAGGTATTTTCGGTCTTCCAGCATGCTCAGGTATTCAGCCACCAAGGCTGCAGAGTGGACCAGGCACTGGGCTGATTCAGCGTGGTTGCTCCTCTCGGAGTGCTTCCCAGCCATGTTCTGCAGCCACGTGAGGCGCAGGTCAGGGGAATTCTGATAGCCCTTTGCAATCCTAATTGAAAAGAAAACCTCTGTGATTAGTATGTAGTTACTTCTGCTTAAACAACAACCACCTTCCATGGTTGGATATCTAGCAATACATGAGATAAGCAGCTATATAGATAGAAAGTTGCCCTATACAGATTCCTAAATCAGTCAGTGATGGGCAACTGCAGCCACCCTGTGATGCCAGAATGTTTTTATGGGTAACTTGCTGAAGCTCTTGACCATATTTCACTTGAATACTGATAGTAAGCCAAAGGTGTTGGACAATCAGAGCAGAATTGCCTGGTTGCTTATGACAAAACCTCTCCTGCTTTCTAAGAAGCCTTCAGGACCATTGCAACACCACGCAGTGTGGTAGTTGGGACCTTAACGTGGCTCTGGATTACCTTTTGCATATGGAGACCTTTATATGTAACACCAGTTTCCTGACTTCAGCTCGGATAGAGTGAATTTTCTTCCTAGCAGCTGTGTTTAGGCTTTAGTATGAGAACAATGCTGATAAACACAGGTTTAGTTGTTGCTCAGTAGCACTTACCCTCATCAAGGACTTTTCAGTCTCACGCTCTGCCAGTGAGGAGAGGCACAAAAAGCTGGGATGGATGACCCAAACTAGCCAAAGGGATATTCCATACCATAGAATGTCATGCCCAGTACAAAGCAACTGTTTTGGGCACCACTTGAGGGGTTTTTTGGGGTGGTGGTGTTTGTTCCTTCCTCTCAATCTCTATTTCCCGTTATTGTTATTTAGTATTATATTTTACTTTTCTTTCAATTATTAAAGTGTTCTGATCTCAAACCATAGGTTTTTACCTTTTTTTCTGATTCTCCTCCCCATCCTATTGAGGGGAGGAAGGGGGAAGTGAGCAAGCAGCTGAGTGGTACCTTCTTGCTGGCTGGGCTTAAACCACTACAACCACCGAAAAAGCCTTGTGGGCAAGCAGGTGCTGGAAGATCCTTAAGTTTTCCCTGCTGCAAGCAGGGAGAGTTGTCAGTATTGTTCCCAGACTAAAGCACAAACACAGCACTGCACCAGCTACTAGGAAGAGGAAAAATGCCTGTTACAGCTGAACCCAGGACACTCACATAAAGGATAAGGTTGTTAGGGACTGCTGGGTGATGGAAACTACTTTTATTCACGATAAGCTCCATAAATGCCAACCAAAACCTATTAACATCACAGTCAAACACAACAGACACGTACCTATTGGTCCATGAGCACTGAGACTCAGAACTGCTCCAAAATCTGAGTGCTCAAATATGCAACATCTGAATACAAAACCAAAGAGCAAGTAGCTGCGTTGTTTTCGGGTAAAATGGGAATCACAGCAAGCAGTTTAAAACAGGACTTTAGTTCAAAGTGAAAGAATTGCTAATAAACCCCAAGCAATCCAAGTTCACAGCAATACAATACCTCACACTCTAAATACAGGAGGTGCAGTAGATACTATGCTTTGTTCTAACACCATGTGGAGCACTGACATCTACTGTCCCTACAGTGCAATGGCTACAGACTCTACCTGTACATCAGGTCAATCAGCATTTCTGGATCTTCCTGGTGCTCCTTCATTTTAACTGTGTCAGAAAGGATCATATGGAGGTTGAACACTAGATCCTGGACCTGTAAAAAACATACTGCTGTAATGAACTGGCAATGGGAATCAAGCTACCCACTGCTGTGTTAAGGACCACAGTCACTCTGAACATTGGTCTGTTTGCATCTTGCTGTCAGAATTAATCACGGACCTGGGGTTTATGTACTTAGGTGATTTAAATAATCACCTTCAGGGAATGCATGTAAACTCCAGCTCTAGATGGAGGTTTAAGGACAGGCTATCAATGAACGACACATTCCTTCTCTTGTGGTATTTCTTTTACCTGATCAGGAAATGTGGTCTCCCTGAGTTCCAGATCTTCTTCAGCATATGTCAAAATAGTCTTCAGGGAACGTCGCAAAAACTCTTCATTGAAGTTCTGGGATGTCCCCACCAGGGATGAGAGAGACATGGTCACCTGCATTTTCACCCTGGCAAAGTTCTGCAACAGAGGTATTGTTATGGCATTCAAGAACCCAGAGGTACTGCAGTGGTCTGCTGCAATATCAGTGCTCTCGTTATTGTATCCTCCCCCTGACAGACACCTGATGCAAAACAGAACACTCAAGTGAGAAAGGGCTGTCTCAGAGCAGTGATTACACTAAACCTCTGCTGCCGAACTTCACAATCTCATCACAGCATTATTTAGTTCTAGCTGAAGGTTCTCCTGCAATAGTTCCAGTCTTCTCTCCTTTTGCACGCTCTCCTCTCACATACCCTGAAGAAGATGATGCTCATCTCCCTCTCGTGATACAACCTTCACTCCAAACAGTTGCTTTTGGTTTGGTCTAGCCTAAAAACAGGAGTCACTGTTAACTCACTGCTGTCAACTGACCAACAGTCCCAGGGCCCAGATACAGTGGGTCCCTCCAGTTCCACTACTCCCTGTGGGGGACTGTAACCAAAGCAGTTTAAACAAAGATGTCTGGAGGAGCACTTTGTGATACATAGCTACAATTATGCCTGCAAAATACCAATGGGAAGAGTTAAGGCTGGAAATCTTCTTCCTAATTCAAAGCACACATGGGTGAGTCAAGCTAAGATGTAATTAGAGGTAAGACCTGAATGAAAACAGAATCCCAGCACTGCTAACTCACGTCCACTGACACAGCCCTTTCAGAAAGGACACACACACCAGCTATGGCACAAGAAGGGCTATGTGACTATTTCTGCTCTCACCTAGAGGTGTGTGAAAGCAAGGCAGAGGGGAGCTTCTCCGAACAGCCCTTTGAGTGCAAACTGTCCAATGTAGAGAGCATGAAAACCTTCCAAACTGACAGGTTTGGGAACACTGGCAGTGGATGTTCCAGGCAGGGCTCCACATCTTTCTATAAACCAATATGAGAGGCAGTTTGCCTGCTAAGAGATTCCAGGCACACAGCTTAGACTTTGACACTGGTGACTGGATATTCCTCCTGCTATGCACTGACCAGCAGTGTGAGGTGCTGCAAGTCCAGGAGCAAGGCAAAGCCATGTCACTGCTGCATGCTTCTCTTCCCTCTGCATGTCATGCTTGTTTCAGTGGTAAACCCCCCAAGAGCCTTTCTCCCACAGGAATACACAGAGCTCCATCCAGCATTCCCAACCCATTTACATGTACCAACCGACCAAAGTGCAGCAGCATACTCACGTTCCCAATCTCAAAGTTTTGCCTCATAAGAAGATACAGAGAGGCACTTGCATGCGACCGTATGGTGCTGATACTGCTGCTACAGTGTCTCAGGAGCCTCAGGCACAGATCTGCACATTGCTCAGTCTCTTCTTCAAACAGCAGCTCAGGGAACTGGAAAAACAGCACAGGAGAAAACGAGTGCTTGGACAGGCAGAAATAAGCACTCAAATAGGCCAGGGCAAGCCTCAGCAACGAGCATGCACTGGCATTAGAGGAATTCCAATCCCCTTTGTTTTGGGGGAATGATGCTGATTTCACTGATCATTTCACTGTACTGTAAAATACAGTAAGGCAAAGCAGACTCACTGGCAGCACTGGAAGGCAACTCCTTTCACCTACCCCCACAACTTGCTCCTATATCTACACCTTTAGACCCATTTATATCAGTTCCCCAGGTTTAAAACTTGGTATTCCTACAGAAACTGGGAAACGGTTTAAATTACAGGCCCAGGAAAACAAATCCATTTGAAGTGATATTTTTACAGCTTAAATTCCACTTGTGCTTCGTGTTCCTGACTGGCTCAGTGCCTGTGCCCACTGACTGCTGGAGAGCAGGAACCCCCACCGCATGTGGGCTGTGTGAACTGTACCTTTGTGTGCAGTCAAACCCAAAGTGCATAAATACAGGTACTGATCATGAAAAGCAGCCAGGCTTTATCAACCCCCAGACCACACTTCCTGAGAGTCAATACTGCACAAAATAACAAACAATTAGTGAAATGACCCCAAAGCAAAGGAAGAGAAAACAGTCCCATCCTCCATCTGTGCTGTTCTGGATATAGTATAGCATCCACCAGAAATTCACCTTTGAAACCAAAGCCCTCTGTGTGGCGAAGCAGTGCTGGAGATAAAGTGCACTTTGGTTGCAGGCCATGCTGTGCAGAAGCACCTTCAGCACCCCACCGAGGATGCTCTCTTTGGATTCTGTCACAGAAACGGTCTGCAGGCAAAAGGAAATCGAGTTACATGAGCAAAAATTAACCTCTCCTGTGTGTCTGTGTGTAAGAGAAAGGAAGAGAACAACCCTGCTGAAAAGCCCTTTGGCATGGAGAAATTACCCACTTAGATGGGCCTACAAAACAGTCACATTACTGAATCAGCCCCCAGGTAATAAATACCTGACCCATGCCTGAGGAATGCGTCTACCTGATGAGGCTCTGACCTTTGGGACCTTGTTCTGTAGCTGCTCTCCAGGTGGATTATCCAGGTGCAACCCTTGGGATTCCTGGGTCTCTCTGCAGCCCAGAGGTGGATCTGATAAGTCTGCTGCTGCCTGCTTCCAGCCCGTGCCCTGGTTCCATTTGTACAGAAAGCAGGGGACAAAAGTACCACGTGTCCTTGCTCACTTGTGCACACAGACTAAGGTACCTGGAAGCTTTCCTGCACTGTGCAGAGTAAGTACAGATACAGGAGGCTGACCTGGAACCTGCTGACTTGAAGCAGATTTGGGAAGACCTACAGTTGGTGAGAATAGGGCAGGACTTGGATATTTTTGCAGTTCGTTACTGAGTTCCTGAACAACCACTTCTTATACTACAAAAAGGGAACAACTTCCAAAAAGCTGAAGGAAGCTACTGCAATGTAAAACCAGACTGTTACAGGCTGAGGATTAAGAGAGGCATTAGGGGAGCTGCCCAGTTCTGACAGCATTCAGGGAGTAAAGAGCAGCAGGAAGGTTTGATTTAACAACCTGCTGCCTGGCCAGGTGACAGTAATGCTGTTGTATCTCTTATTTCTTATCATCCTTACCTGTACAACTATCTCTAGTGTATCCAAAATAATCAGATTGGCTTCTGTTGCAAGATTCCCATCGATAAGTGCCTCGTGTTCTATCTCTGCCCTTGATCTAATTGAGAGAAGAAAGGAATAAAATTACTTTCTGTTTAAGAAGTAGATCTCCATCTTCTCCTCTCAAAAACCATCTTCTCATTAGCAGGAAACTCCCAGTTCCAACTTGGATATTTATTACTGGACAACACTACAATGCATTCATTAAGAGGACAGGAAGAAAGACTTGTTTCTTTACATATACAAACTTAGACAGGAGTTACGTTCACCATGCTAGGAGAGATCACACTATTTCCAACACTTCCTTACTCTCCCAGGGACACAACAACAGTTTAGAATCAAAGTCCAACTCAAAACTGGTTTAGTAGCATCGTTAGGCATGCAAGAGCACAACCAGGAACAGAACAAACAGCTTCATGTTATAGGCTATGGACACATGGTGGTGCTACACGAGCTGGTATATCTTGCACTGTGGAGCCCAGCAGCTAGACTGGTTGTAGCACAGAGTGCATATCGTGAGGGTGCAATCTTTGTCCATTCAAGCTATATTACATTACAGTACTTGAAAAGTATCTTCCTCTCCAAGAAAAATGACAGGGTGTTGCTGTTCAGTGCCAGGCACTCACTTTCCTGGAAAGTCTACAAAGTTCATACACCCAGTCACACCAGTAGCCCCAGGAATTCAGCTGCAACGATGTGCTGCATGTGGCAAAGATCCAGTAGTGTATCTGAAGAGACCAACTACAGCCTGCCCTACCAGAGATGTCCTTTCCAGCAGGCTCCTGCCAGGCCAAATCACAGCAGGAGTGTGACCAGCAGGAACTGATCAAATCAAGCAAAATACACCACCAAGGGGATGGCAGATGACTCAGCTCTTGGATCTGTACTGCAGCAACCCTCCCCTGCCACACTCTGCTTCCTCTGGGAGCCGGGCCAGACACTCATGATGTACTCTTCAGGCTCCAGAATATGAAGACTTGAGGCCTGACCCTATATAAAACAACACCATCTGCATAAACCAATACCACCTGCAATTAGTTGTGCACAATCCTTGGTGTGAAGTCTTCCTTGTTAGACTTCAAAGGGCCAGACTCTACCTATGCACGCAGGACAGACTTGCGGTGCCACAGGAGTGGAGTGGGATGGACCGAGGTCGCAGTGAGCAAGTACGGGTTAAAAAGCAGGTTTGTGGAGTTCTCTAAGCAGATTCTTTTGTGGAGTGAGACACCATCCTTTGAGCATCAAGGTATTCCACAGCTGTTACTATGTACTTGAGGTTCTTCTGGGAAGGAGGGGGCTCAGATCCAGATGAGCTCTTCAGGCCAAATTTTAATCTTGTGTAACTCTGCCCACAGCTCTGGAGTTGTGGAATTCATACCTACAACACTTCATTAGCAGGCTGAAACACACTGGTCATTTGGCCACCTCAATGCCTTAACAGGACTGAAGTCTTGGACAAAAAGCCACCACGTGACATAACAAGAGATTACATTCCTGGGTTGGACAAAGCATTAGAAGCTGTGAAGATGTACTCTGTCGGTGCCTTCAAGAGTCAAATTTGGCCTGATCTCCATCTGGGCTCTGAGGTCCCCATCCCCCAGTTTCTTCAGAGCTTCACTTTGTGCTGAGATTGCTTTCCTAGGATTAGGAAGAATTCTTTTGCTGGGAGGACGGAGACTGCAGGTTGCCATTTGAGGAAACAGAAAACGTGCACAGCAAAGCTCAAACACAACTCCTGAGCCCTCCAGACTGAACCACACCAAGAGAGGAAGGTTTAAGGGAAATGGGTGTAATAAGCAAAAAGAGCTCATTCCAATCAGTTGCGCACACACACACTGAAAACTTCTGCCAAGCATCACAAACAATGCTGTGATGATTGAGTCTGCAGATGTACAAAATGGCAATTTAGAAGAACTGCACACCAATGCTACAGTACCTGGCTGGTTTGTGGCTTCTAAAAGCACAGCACATGTGGAAAAACAATCAAAGTGATGGATTAGGACAGGAAAGGAAAGCGAGCTTTGAGAACTCCAGAATGCTCTTATGGAATAAAGGGAATATGACATGAGATATATATGCTCTCTGTGAAAACTGTTAATGGATCTTCCCTCTAAATTACAGCTTACTACAGGGTTTTAAGAAGGCAATGGATTGTCTCAGTCTCTTCAAATCTCATCTTAAAGTCTAAGGAAACACGGGACAGTGGAAAAGCAGAGTTAGATAGGGCAGTGCTGGACTTAAAAGCTATTTGCACACTGCCAGCCCTGTTCCAACCAAGGGCCCAAGCCTGCTCTCACAAGAGCTCAGTGAGCTGTTGCCATTGACCTCCTATAGGGAGAGCATTCCCACAGGCACTGTCACATTGTTAATGTAGAAAGATAAGGTAGAGTTACTTGTCAAGCTTTTCCGTGTTCTGACGCCAGTGAGTCATATCCTTTCTCCATCTCAAATTCTCTTGACTTCCAAAAGCGCTCCCAGAAGGACTTCTCTCTGCAGGATAGTATCAAAACAACAGTGGTCATCTAATCCTATTTGGTTTACATGGGTAGCAACTCTAGGTCTGTTCACAAGGGACAGCAAACTGTGACTTCTTTAGAGCCCAAGGCTGTGGCACTCACCCAAGATGTTTACGTGGCCCCTAATTCTGTCACTGCTGAGTGACATGAGAGGCAACTTCACTTGCAGCTATCCATATGCCAGCTTACTACAGAGCTAATGGAGAGACTGTGGAGATACATCTATCAGGATGCCTGTGGCAGAGTAGGAGACAAAACCGCTATTCTGATTCTTATCCTAACCCCTGCGCCATCCTTCCTCCCAAGCATGAGCAGCAGAGATCATCAGAAGGTATTTGTTACCCCCACTACTGGCTATTTCAAGCCTCATTAAGTTAGCAGGAATATCCAGGTATTTTCAGAGCAAGATCAGGCAGCCTGTTTTCTGTTGTGATCCTTGCACAAGACATACTAGAAGGTGGCTTTGAAAGATGCTACACTGGAATAAGCTCAGGCAAGAACACCCCATAAATGAGGTATGATCACATGTACACAAAAGCAATCCAGTCACAAATAAATTGCCTGTAGCTGGAACTTGGGGAAAGTGGAGGGATCCTGCAGCCCCAGAGAAGCATGCTCCAAACTCCAGCTTTTTCTAGGGCCTTCTTTGCCTGAATATCTTGATGGGTAGTATCCCAAACCGCAGATGGGTGCAAGGAAGAAGACTTCTTTACTTACCTAGCTGCCCTCTGCTTCTTCGGACCATTTCCTGCCTTGCCCCTATACTTCCCAAAATAGCTTCTTCAAGTTTGGCTCTCATGTCTTTTGACTTCTTGAATGTCAGACTGTTCATTCTTTCAAATACTTTCTTGCCCTGCAAGTTTCAAATGAGAGCATCAGGGAAGATTCTTTCAATCTGGGACATTTTATTAACATTAACACCTAAAGACATTCAGAAAGAAGGGAATACATGTTTAGTTGTTAGCTAGCTAATCTACCCAGATCCAGCACTGCTACAGGAAACTCTTCTTGCTGATAGCAAGCAAAATGACCAAGAGCTATGATCCCCTTTCCCTGCAGAAGTTCCCAGATGAGCGGCAAGCAGGACAAACCGCTTAAGAAGTGAAACAAGGCACAGACACTTGCACGGCTGAAAAGTAAACATGGATAAGGCTAGAGGTTGCACAGAAACGTGCTCAGCCTTGGGATTCTGAATGCAGGAAATACTTAGGAGAGAGCAGGAAATGCCTTTCTGCAGTCGTGTGAAGGATCAGAGTGCAAAGGTCCTCGGCAAGCCCCAGAGGGAACTTCAGGAGGTTACAGAGTACACCAGTACCTTGTATTCAAAGCAGGATACGCAAAGGTAAAGCAAATCCAGCAGGCGATTGAGCTGCAACACCGACAGGTCCGTGAACCACTTCTGCAAGACACTTTCATCTGCGTTCTTGAGCACCCACAGCAGACAGATCAGAAGGCTGCGGCTGGACTCTGTTGAGAAGGTGGAGTGCTGCCTGCCACTCTAAAACAGACAGGTCAAGACATGTGCCACGCTGTATTTCACATCCAAACGCTTCGATCACCACTAAAAGGTTCTACACCTGCTACCACCCCAGCCTAAACCATTACCAGATAGGAACAGAAGGTGAACAGATGTTTTTCACTGAGAAGCAGGAGAAACACATTTCTCTTTCTCAACCCAACAGCTCAGTGGAGCCCACAGATAGCCAAGCCACAAGAGTGAAGCAGCAGTTTGAACCAGTTATATGAACGTGTTTCTCTTCACGCAGCAAATACCCACTTCCCTCAAGATGCCTTTAACAGCTCCTGGCAGATTAACAATTAAGCAAAGGGGCTCCATTCATTATCCCATGTATGTATCAGGGTGTCATAAGAACCATCAAAATGGAGTTCTGATGCAGGAGTAAAGGGAAGAGGAGAGATAAATGGAAGGGCCTGTCTGCTATCAGGATCAGGAGGATTTCCTCCCTGTGCAGAAAACAGGGGAAAGGGCCCACTGATGTCTTCAGCTAGGTGGGATTTGGATGTGGTAGGAATTTCTGCTCAGGACTTAAGAGTTAATAATGACCATTTCACTTCACAGAGCTTCTACTGGATTGTTTCACGATGAGGGAATCTTTATCAGAGAAGAGAATTCTTCCAGTTTCAGAGGTTTGCTGAGTTTTATCCCTCCTTGGATTCCTTAAATCCTCCCTGAAACTGGCACAACAACGCGCAAACGTGACTTTTTCCCCTTGCCATTCATCCCCAGCCTCCTTGTGTAACACCCAGCTGCACGCTGATACAAGGCCCTACCACTCACTGATCAGCCCCACGGGACCTGCATGTGTAAATATTTGCCTGTTGACACAGACTGAGGGTCAAGGAATAGGGAGAGGTGGCTTTGTACCGATGAGGTGAGCAGGAAACTGCTGGGCCGGGTGAGCTGAGGGACCGACGTTCCTGCAATGGCCATGGCAACTGTCTGGCTTATCATGCTTCCACCTTCACTCTCATAATCATCGACAGCGACGCAGCTTGGCCTCCCTCGCTGATTGTGGCTCTCTGTCAAGAAACGTGGGCATCTGGTCAATCCCAAACTCAAGAGGACTGATACTGGAGGTCACACAAAGCAAACAACAGTTTTCAAATGCCACTTACACAACCTTAGTATCTAGAACCCTTCTCAAAATAGACCTTTTGTCCCTTTGAACACTCTCTTCTTGCATCTTTATTGTGACATTAAACTCAAAGGATGTAGGAGACAACTATAAATTCCCAACTATTCCAGGCTGGACCCCCTGCCCTGATTTGTAGTAACCCACCTCTGCTGCTCTTCAGGACACTTTGTAAAGCCCCCCTGAAATGATCTGCTGACAGAGCACATGCTAAGGAGGACGAGGAACTCTGCTTATCCTTTGGAATTGTTATGGGAATTGTACAGTATGTGGGGTGGCTTTTTAAGCTGGTGAGACATAGAGGGCGGCTGGCTACACATACAGAGTAGCCAGCCACTTTTAGACTAAAATGAATTCCTGCAAACAAGTGGGCAAATGCGGATGTTGAGCACTAACACTCATGGAAGATGCATTGTCCAAGTGCAGTTTAGGAAATAGATAGGAAACGTTTCTTAGGAAATAGATAAGAAAACACGTCAAAGTTATAATTCAGAAACAGACACAATCTCATCCAACAGCAAAGGGGTTTGTACTTCAATTTCAGAACCCGAACACTTAAATCGAGCGAGCAGATGAACCCACATTCAAATCAGAGAACATAAAATACCTGTAAAGTCATAAAGCTGAGGCACGGTCTCCATGATCACGCCGATCAGAGGTAGATACAGCATTGCCACCCGGGCCTTTACCTGGGGGTCAGCGTACCGCGGATCCGAGTCGTGACTGGACAGTAAGTTGTGTACCATATTGATGACCTTCTTATGCAATCCAAACAAACTGGTAAACGAGAGTTGGGTCACACAGATTAGTTAATACCTTCAAAGCAAACTATACTTTGTAACTAAGGGGCTTCTTTTTCTGAAGAAGAAAACCCTGGGTTTTATTTTTAACTCCAGGTAAGCTGCCAGGACACGTGGTTTTGGATCGCCTGTGTAGTTTACAAATGCTAAAAGGCCATATAAAATGTACCCAAACACCTTGCAGAATGTGAACACTCTGATATCTCCTATACAAAACCAAAGCCCCAGTTACTGCTACGCTGAATTATCGAGTCTACTAAAGACCATCAGGGAATACGGAAAACAGCGAGAGAAACTTCAGAGGAGAGTGGGTTTAGTGAAACTATTTGTTGTGGGTTTTTTGCTTCTTTTTAACACCATTTACAGACAGAAAAGCCCTTCTAAGGCAGAATATTACTTTTAGTGAATGGTCAGGAAGCTCCTATTTCAGTTCCCTGACCCCCATGCAATTACTCCATCAAAACAGTAGACTGATGATCCATCATTCTGCATAAAAAGTGACAACAGAATCAAGCAGTAGAAGGAAAACCAACAAGAAATGGCCTTCCTCACTATGAAGATGCAAACGATGGCAGGGCCCAAGCACCATCCCCTTTTGCAGGACACCCTGCGTGAGCCCATTCATGCCCTGACAACCAAAACTCCCCATAATCTCTCAAGAACTCACTCTGCTCATTTCAATTCCCTCAGCCAACACTGAGGCAAAACTCCCTCAGAGCAAACAGCAGGTATCTGGGCAGCTATTTGCTTCTGGAGGCAAACCAGGCCAAGAAGACAACTTTACCCCATGCATGAAGCAGCCAAGGAAGCTCATACGTTATGCATTAGCAAAACATAAGCTTCAGTGTTCAGACCTGAGGTATTAAAACAAGTGCTGAATTTCAGGCAGTATGCAGTTTACGTGGAAAGTAGAGTTGAGTTCTGGTTAAAAAATGAGGAGAGGCTTTGACTGGATTGTTGAAGGTTTAAAATGATTTAAAAGGTAGCAGTATGGGTTAGGAGGACATTAGCTACTTGCAGCTACATGTCTTTCCTGGGTATTTTAATCAAGCCATAATGAGATCCTACAATTGCTTGTGTGTGTAATTAGTGAGACCCTTAACAATGAAGAAGGAAATGCTTATTTAAGTGACTAGTTCCTTCAGATTAAGGACAAAGAAAAGTCTTTGCATTAGTTTGGAGGAGTGGCACCTACTCTGTGTTTCTAACAGTTCAAGGGAAATGATCCTGCAGGCCACAGAACTGCATGTAGGGAAAGCACATCCAAACAAAGCAGTGTAATTCAAACCTAGGGCTACAGGGTTTTCCTTTTCACTTTTCCAGAACAAAGTAGGTACTGTGGTGGATCGATCCATAGCGAAGAGGAGGAAATATGGCCCACTGACCTTTCTGGCTGATAATGCAATGAATTGATCTTGGTGCCCTCCAACCATCCCCTCTGTAATCCCAGCCCTGGCCTGGATTTGTGTCAACAGCACACACTTTTGGGAAACTGACTTTTGTCACTGAATACTGAGAGCCAAATACTGATCTTCCCACTTCTGTCCAGTAACATTGGTCAATATGAGCAACCCAGGCACTATGACATGAGCAATACGAGTTAATAACCTGGTCACACAGCATTGTTTGCAGAGACAACCTGCTGAGGGTCTACCTGCTTGGACTCACCCTCTGGAATGGTCACATTCAGCTGGCTTCCTTCATCTGCATGTTGTATTGGCTTTTAGACTGTGAGTGCTCTGGAGGAGGACCATAGCATACTGTGATACTGTACTGGGCCTAGCACAGAGGGATCCATCTAACACACCACCTGGGCACTGCAGGCATTTCTGTCCAACTCAGTCCAAGGAGTTCTTATAAGATGGGTGACCTAGAATCTAACATCATTTACTAACAGGGCAAAAAGAGCAAGGACGGAACACATTTAAGGCTTAAGGTAAAGCTCTAACACAATAAGCAACCAGCTGGACATCCCTCTCCTGTCCTGCTGTAGCATAATGCAACGGGGAATGATGCTGAACTTCTTCCAATGACGGCCAAAACATTTTAATGGGAGGCACGTCTGAACCCTCTAATAATAACCTGCTGATGATATTTTATGATTGTTAAAAGTCTTCATATACAAAGGAAAAGCAGACCTGAACAGACTGGCTTACTTTATACAGCGGATCTACACGGGCAAATGCAGAAGGATGAAGCCTGAGAACAGCTAACTAACTGCAAACTACAAGTCACTGCGGAAAACATTAAAACCCAAATGAAATACTGATATAAACCTCCACTACAATTAAGGAGCTTTGATCAAAATGTATCTCCAGAGCTGAACTGCCATAAAGGGTTTTTTCTGTCTCGATAAGGTTTGAGAGAGGACCTGTCTCCCCAGTGGACACCGGCAAGATCACACTGGTAACTCCTTTGTGCAGCTGGGCAGGGATTACTGACCTGGCCCAAGCTTAAGCACTGGGAATAGCAAGGTGAGAGAGCTCAAGAGGCAGACAGAACAGAAGGTTTGTGAAGAACAAAGGCGGATATAGTCAGAGACAGGACCTGATTTCTATCCAGCAAGCAGGATGCTCCTATGCTACAAAAAGCATTTCTGCAGACAGCGTATATGGGTAAAGATTTGCTGCCTTTTCCATTTCAGGGCAAACAAATGGGACTGCGGTGTGCTATGTACATATAAAGAAAATATTCTAATTTATGGCATCACTTTCTTCTCCAAGAGGAAACAGAACGAATGTTTAACTCCTGAGACCTCTTGGTAAAGGGGCAGAATTAACCATGAATCATTAGCCTTTGTCGACTCTGCTCGTGTTTCTGAGTCCACCTTGAGAAAAATGCCTCTGAGAGAACTTAGGCCTGTGGAAGCAATCAATAATTTCCATTGGAACCCATTTTAAAGAGGCAAGGCAGAATACAGCCCTAAATAACACAAGTAACAGCCTCGATGGCAGGACTACAGGCTACACTCTTACTTCAGAAAATTATTTGCTGTGCAAGCCAGGCAAGTCACTGACAAACTCCGCATGCTTGACTCTATTTGTCTATTTATGTAATCTACAGGGGCCTCATCAATGCATAATTTATGTTTAAAAAGAGCTGGGAAGACCACAGGCAAAATATATTGCAACATTTAAAAGCACCAGCAACAGAGGCTTCCTAAATGTTGACAACTATTTTCTTGCTATAATTGAGAAAAGCTATTTTCCTCTTATGAGCTCCAGCAGTGCCCATGTGGCAGCTGGGGGCTCCAGTAGGAACCTCTTTCCCTTCTTCTCAGCTGGAAAAATGTGACTGAAATCATGTTTACAGAGGCAGGAATAAGGAAGCAACGAACAGGAGGAACAGGGAGAAAGAGGACTCTTCAGGAGCTGGTTTCTTATGCCCTCAGCTCACGAATTTAACTCAGTTCTGGCCATGCCAGAACTTGCTTCTCATCCACCATTTGCTTGGAATGACAGAAAACTGTTGGGAAAAGATAAACTGTAAAGATTTACCCTTCTGCATCAGGATCTAAAATGACAGCAAGTTCTGTTAACACAAGCCCAGCCAAGTAATGCTGCTGGCGGAAAGGCACAGACAGTTCAAACATATTGGCAATCTTCTGGTCTTGGACGTTTGTGGAGAACCCAGAGCTCTGTGAAAAGAAATCAAGTTTCAGAGGTTGCACAACGAGGCCCCTCAGAACACGCAGTCAAAGCTTATGAAATACATTAGAAGCAGTATGCAGAATGAAAGACAACCTCACATAGACTCCCTTTTTTGTTTGGATCCAGGCACATCTACTTACACTACATCTGAGCTCACTAACTCTTCTATTAATTCTGTTTGTCGTTATTGCCTTGCCACCCATGGAGCTGGCCTTAGGGGAGTTAAGCCAAATAACCTTTAAAAGTGGATTAAACTTTTAACTTAGGAGGGATGCTCTTATTCAGGCTAAAGAAGGTTTAATTTGATTTCATTTACGTGATTTTGCAACTAATTGATCCACTCGAGTAACACACTTGCTAATTCAAATGACTTCTCCTCAGCAGGCTACAACTAAGTTTCAGTATGCTAGAAAGACCCTTGTGTTGTAAGAAAAGGGTAACAATGGACAAAGCATCTTCTTTAATGGCTCATTTATGCTCATGTGCTTGTCCATGAGCACAGTCCCTAAGAACAGTGTGATACAGGGACAGTGACATGGGCATTCTTTTTACAGTAATAAAAGGAGTCAAAACCTGTGTGTCAGGAAGAAGTAATTTCTAAATAAACATTTAAAGAAAAATATTAGCAAGCAGAGACTGAAAATAGAGGTGATACAACAACGATTTAAGTGCCAGAGCAAAGCTCAGCTTGCATTTCCACAAAGGATCCTCAATGTAGCGTACCTGAGAGGTTGCTGAAGACACAGATGGTGATGGAGATGCAGGTGGTGTGAGCAAGCTGCAGGGTAAATTCAAGGTGACGTAGTGTTCATGGCTGCAAATGATGCGAAGGAAGTCCAGCCTCAAAGATGCCAGGTTACTTGGATTTGTTAAGGAATACAGCTTTGAAGACACCTGCAAATTTAGCCCATACAATTGCAGTTAGCTCCAAACGCAGCAAGAGCCCCCCCGTCCCACCACTGCTCCCCAAAGGCAGAACTGAAGAGCTTGATACCATTAAATGGTCACATCCACATCACTTCTTTGTGCTACAGATTAAACCTCTGTGTGCAGGAGACATCAACATCCCAGTCAATGCCAGACATATATCAATACAAGATGGATATAACAGCTGTACTTCTATAAGCAAATGAAGAACTAGGTACTTCACATATGATATCCACATCCTATTGACTTCAGTAGGGAGCTGTGAGAAGCAGGACCACACTGTGATGCATTAACAGGTCAAAGATGCAGGTTGGCTAATATACAGTAAGCAATAAAGCTCAAATATACGCTGTTGCTGTTCTTGCCCCTTATATAGTGTTATAGACTCTAAGCCTAAGCTCCTGATACCTGGTCATCTCCTTTGTACACAGTGTCAGCACAGATGTTTGCAGTCAAATGAAACTTTGTGGTTCAGGGCGATTTCCCTGCCACAACACTGCAAGTTTCCTAACAAGTAACATAGGAACCCTCCTTCTCGCTGTGGGAGGGGGGGAGACCTTGCATCTTCAGAAGGATGGAAGGGGAGCTTGGTGCTCAGTATCGTCACACAGGGTCAATGTGTCCTTGGAAGACTCACTGACAAACCAGGACAGTCTGAGCTCTCTCACAAAACCTCCTGCTTCATTTGATGCAATTACTCTGAACACGGTGAGCAGAGGGAATAACTCTTCCTTCCTGCTGCACGTCCATTCGCGCAAGGGAGTTACTCCTAATTCACTTTTAAGAGAGTAATCAGAAAGGCTTAAACTCTAAATCACCACTGAGAATGCCTTGCTAGCTCTAAAAAGACCTCAACAGCAGAATTCTGGGTCCATACTTCACTGTCTGTCCAAAGAAAGGTAGAATAATACGCTAGGCTACGGTTCACAGTGAAGTCGTAATATTTATCTGCATTCACCTGTTTGTAGCAGGTCTTAATAAGAGCGAAAACAAATCCTCTGTCCATGATAGACAACAGGTCATTGAGGAAAAATGCCAGACTGGTGTTGAGCCTTTCGACCATTTCTGTATCCTAGAGAGAAGGAAGAGGAAAATGGGACAGAAAATGAAGACGAGCACGCTGTGTATTTTCAATGGTGTAGGCACCAGCGAACACACGGGAGGTGTGGAGCCTCAGCTCTGATCGAGCTCAGTTCAGTTTAATTCTTTGCCATTACCTTCTGAAACCGAGAGACTATATCACCGGCAATTGTGCTGACCAAAGCAGTTACATCATCCATGAAACGCTCAGGAAAACGATTCTTTCTTGGCGCATCCAGTTTGTCAGCAAAATACAAATGATGCACCATGCTCTTCACCTATAGAGACATAAATTACAGCCAAGTCACTCGCAGTTGTTGCTGTCTGTGGTTTAAACTAGGAACTGTGAGACAACGATAAGCAAGGTGTTTCCAGGTTGCTCACCATCAGCTCGAAGAAGAACCAGGCTTGCTGCAGGGCTGCCTCCCGCACACTCCCACTGCACACAACCCATTGTAAGGCCAGCTCCTCGTGAAAAAGCTACAGAGATTCAAATCCAGAGTCAGCCTGAGCCTCGACACCAGCTCACAAAACAATCCGCATGAGAAATGGGAGCACGATCCATGGCAAGGATGGCAAACAATGAGGTTAAGCAAAATAACTGGGAACGTGACAGCAGTGGTGGCATCCCTTAAAGAAATCCCCAACTAACAATGAAGGATGATGTGATGATATGGGATGAGAGAAACGTTTCACAGCATCTTGCTCCGAAATTGAATTTTGAGTGTCAAAAGAATCTTCCACCACCCCCCCAAAAAAAAACCAAAAAGTTTGGTGCTCGAATTAGTTTAGTTGAAAATTCTACCTTTCTGCCTGGTCTGATTTTTGCAGGAAAAAGGAGTAAAAAGCGGACATATAAAGCAATTTGTATAAAGATGTATATTTACTGTGAGAAAGGACTTAAAACAGCAAGAAAGAAACGTGGGGCAAAGAAACAGCTTTTGGATTCCTTTTCTTAGGAAGAGCAACCCGCAGGCCGGATGTTTGATTACATTTTCATTACCCAAGTCAGGCAATTTGCCTTTCTGACATTGTTTAGTAGGATCTCATCTCCTGCAAGGGAGTGCGCTTTGGAAGGAACTCCCATTCACTCACTGGATTAACACCTGCGTACCCGAGTTCAGCACACGTCCGTAACGCTAGCCATCCCATTATGATTTTGCACACAAGAATGTGTCATTTACATGTCTAGACAGTGCTATTCATATCTTTTGAAAGCCAGCAATAAACCGGCTCCAAACACTATGGCCATTAAATCAGACAAGCTACTCCTGATCATTTTATTCTTCCCACTTCGGCTCTGTCACAATACTTCATATTCACTACAGCCTGGATATTCGGAGGTGCTAAGCAACAGCCGTTCCTAATGACCTCGGAAAAAAACAGGCTATAAATGAAAGAGTAGATTGCATCATGTTTTCAGAATGGCTTGACCTCCCTGCCCCACAAGATCAATGGTCTTCACTGAAATCTACCTTTTTAGTTGGTAACCGTCCTGTTAATGTTTGTAAGAAACTTGACGTCTCAGTGTGCGAAGACATACGATTACAACTTCGATCCGTAGCCTACGGAGTGGAGATGAATGAATGATGACAGGACATTAAAGTTTGCTGTGGATGGGTTTTGCAGCTCAAGGACAATGTACGTTTACAAAAATACTGTTCCAACTGTAGGCTTTTACTGCCTTTACATCTTTTTATGCATTCTCAAACACTTATTAATGTACAGATTTGGTTTGAACAAAACCGCAGTACTTTCCACTGTTTCAAGACATACAGGCTATTTAAGTAACTGCATGTTCTTATGCACAAAGACACTTAATGCTGCAAAGCATGAAACTTTTTCATCATTGCATTTTATCAGCATGCATACGTCAAGGAGGTAAAACTTGTAATTTCAGTCCATACCTCTCAAGCTACCAGAGACCAAGCACATGGGGATGTACCCCATGGCACATGGAATAAGGAAATCACCGAGGTTCTCTTTCTGATAGAAATAATTTGCCACGGGTGCATGCAGACTCAGACTAAGTATTTCTGGGACTCTGATGCACTTGAAAGGAGGTACAGTTGAGAGGTACGTTCAAGGCAACCATGCAGTGGAAAGCAGCAGGCAAATGGGGGCTAAATAACTCCTTCTGACTGAAGCTGCTATAAAGTTTTCATACTTTGCAACACAGAACAGATACAATCGGCCCTAGCACGTCACTGGCTGCATCATTCAGATTTATGTGTTTGAAGAGAGAATTTTACATGTGGCAATCAGTTTTGGCTTAACAATATTCCACTCAAACAGTCATGAAGGATCACTTGACGATGGAGACTAAATGCTCGATGAGAATGGCAAAATGGTTCGCAACATCAAAAGAAATGGCAAACATGGACAAAACTATGAAGCTGTGATTAATGTTCCCACTTAGAAATGTGCTCCACCTGAAGCTGAAACTAGTGTTAGAGAGAGAAAAGAAAAGAAAAGCAGTCACAGCATTTACATTTCACAGACCAGCAACCACTGAAATGAAAGAAGGGGACATGTCCACGCATTTGGAGGGTTTTCATGCAGTGTGGGGAGGTGGTGGGGGAGAAGATGCTAAATTAGAAAAGAAAACTCACAAAGTTTCCAAGGAATAAAGAAATAATTCAGAACAAAACAACAAAAAGGCACCAAACCACCAAAATGGGAGTAAACACCGAAAGGAGGATATTCTACAGGGAAACATCAGGGAGAACAAAGCCAGAAAAACCTCTACCGAAGACACCACCTGTGTTGACTCTGCACTTGGGCTGGGGTTGGATCCCCATGGGGCTGCTTTTGGACCACCAGTGTTTACCCAGGAATTGGAGCGGTCTAAACCCTGGGCATGTAATAGAAAGCAGTTGGGAAAGGAAAGAAATATTACATGTTGCATGCCATACAGTAGTCAAAGCTTAGTCCTTAAAAGCAATCAAACCGGGTGCACTGCAAACACATCATCAGTTAGCACTGTTAAAGCAGCCTGAATTCTCAGGTGTCAGTGGAGACGTCTTAGTCCAGAGGATTATTTTATATCTCATCACACACATATACACTGTTGACAGCTCTGGTCCAACCTACCCTCTCTGTAATGCCTGACATATCTTCCTCATGAAACCCTACTCTTATCAGATTAAACCCATTCACTGCAGGAGATGGAGCCAGCCTGGACGTACAGGCTGGCTGAGGAAAACTGGTGCACAGATGTGAATACCACAAAGGATGCTCTCCGAGGTTTCCAGCACTTTTAGGGTGACTGCTTGCTACAGTTTAGAAGCTCTACAACTCTTATGGAAATGCTGAGAAACTTTGAAGAGAATGAGTGGCAACTCTCACAGGGATTCCTGCTCATGGAATAAAAACCCAGCATTGCTGGTAGAATAACCCTGTGAACAACACTGCACATGGACACTGGGTATTTTCTCTGGGCAGTGTGGCCAATACACGAAAGAGAACATACCTTTTCTGGAACCAACCTGTTTTGCCAAGCAAATTACCTGACAAATCATCCTCCTTTTTAAAAGCTCAATCTAGTTTGTATTCCAAGTTCTACTCCTGCAATGGATCGTATGGGCAAAATTACTGTGGATCCCTCCTCTCTTTGTGCTTCCCTTTTCTCTCAACACACTCAAGAAGAAGAAAAGTTCAAATTTAAAGGTAAATTGTTTAAGCCAGGTTGGACACAGGGGCTTGGAGCAACCTGCTCTAGTGGAAGGTGTCCCTGCTCATGTTAGGGGGTTGTAACTGGATGAGCTTTAAGGTCCCTTCCAACCCAAACCAGTCTGAGATTCTATCACATGTCACGCAGGCTGCTCCAAAGTCAGGACCATTCAGCAGGATGCAGTGGACTTTCCTGGTTCCAGGAACCAGCTCTGAGGGAGGCAGTTTTGCAATGCCACAACTGAGTATCAATTCCTTATAAATTCCACAGCTTTGTTTCAACTCTCACATGAGTGAGAGCTTTCATCGTAGTTCCTGTGCCCACTTAGGGCTTTTTCCCAATGCCTGAAGCAAAGATGCAGCCCATTTTATCACAGTGCTTATCATCTGCTGCAAAGTCCACCAAGCCTAACAATCTATTTCTCGCTGCAAAGAAAAATCCATCTCAAGGTTGAGCCCAGTGTGAGGGCTGTAACCTGGGATGCAAACCATTAATCCCCTGAGCTATCCCCTATGCATAGAGTACAGCGATGCTGTAATTTTGCTTAAGATGTCCAATAAAAAAAATACTGAACACATATAAGGAGAGTGCTTTAATCTCAATTACTTTTTGGAAGGAATAAATCAAAGCTTTCTGCCCTGCTCAGACCCATAAACATGTTTTATTTTGCTCACAGTGAATTAAAGTCGAAAGGACTTTGCAGAATGCTGAACTAAGCTCATGTTTTGTAATATCAAGTCTGACTCTGAAAACGCCTTTCTCACACTCACATTTCTGCTCACAGGGTTTCTAATCACATCACTTAGGTTCTGAGGATAAAGGTACACATAGACTGTGTTTGCAGAAGCACAAGTCATGTTGTAAACATCGGAAAAGATTCTTTCCTCTTTGGCAAATAAAAGAGCACAAGAGCTTCTTATTGCTTGGCAGAGTCACTCAACAGTTCACAAAAGTGCTATTAAATTCTCTTCTACCTCTGGGGTTCAACCTGCAGCTGGATCTGTGCAGGAACACAGCAGACATCTGTGACAATCCACTGCTGCAGCAATGAAACTCCACTATCTTTTCCTGTCTTTCCAGGACATCTCCAGCACTGCAGGAACACTCAAAGCATAAAATCTCACCATAGGTCTTTTTAGACACTTAAATTCGTGTTAGTAGGGAATAAAATCTATGTGGCTTCAATTCACAAATGAAGGCAAAATAAGTAACAGAAATCTTCCCTATCCTGTACAGGGGATCACTATTTCACTTTTCAAAATCAAGTAAGAAGCTGATAAAAGGGAGACTCAAAGCACAGATACCAACCCTATAAATACCTTACATTACAACAGAACTGGATTCTGAAACCTTCCATCAAACAACAAAAGAGTCTTTGGGGTTTTCTCAAGTAGAAAGCCTTCCCTGATAGATTCTCTTTTGAAGTGCAGGCTCCCAATTCTTACGGAATTCTTATGGCATATGTGCTTCAGCCACTACTTGGAAAAACAGAATAGGAATTTTTACATCTTTTTACTCATATTAACATATCAAGAAGTGTCTTTTCTATTACCCAGCTGAAATAATTCTATTCAACCATAAGTGTGTAGAGTCAGACTGAGTTTAATTTCTGGTGCTCAGGCTACCATAAAGGAAACTTTTCCCTCAACAATTACGCAAAGAAGAGGTTTTAGTTTAAAGCCTGGAGTACATCCCTAGAAGAAAATCTCTCTTCATTTTGTACTGTGACATTATTCACTGAGCCAGCACATATTAAACTTCTGATAGCCTGTGTAAATGCCATACGCACATTAGTGCTTATGGCATTTCACAAAAGGTCAGGCTTGTTTAATTAGCAAGATACTGAAGTGGTCTTTAAAACATTTTAAGACTTTTAAGTCCAGACTTTGATGTAAAAGTAATGATTTGCCTACCCAAACTGCTTCAGCCTCTTATCTGGTCAGCAAATTATGTTGTTACTCATTTTAAATAGGTAGCTTCTTTCTGAAACTATGCTTTTCTTGCTCTTCTAAAGCCCAGGACCAACCAGCATCAGGCTGGCTGGTCAGGATGATGGTTTTATTAACAAACTTGCACACTGATCTTCCAAAGGATGGAATGGAACGGCTCTTTGAAAGGGCTCAGCAACTCATCTGTGCTGGAAGGTGGGAACGCATCTCCTCTTAGAGTAAGTTATTACAGTTGGGAGATTAAAAAATAGAACCCCGAACAAGCTAAGGCTTGTTTGTGAAGGAATTACAAACAGCAGATTCTCCCTAGCTCATCCTACCTAATTTAGGTACAAAACTGAAGTGCTCAAATTGGGACTGTGGCAGTCCTATGTACTTGGAAGTCACCAGAGAGGGACAAACCCTCTGCAGGAGGTGCCCTTAAGAGTTGAAGTAAAAGCATTCAGGTGCTCTGCACTAATGCGCCTACACTGGAAAACCACTTTTAGGTGTGAGGAGTCAGTGTGGGTGCAGACTTAGCACACCATAAATTCACACTGCAGCTCAGCTGGCTGGACTGTGGCTCACTCACTAAAATCCTCCCTGGCCCATTCAGGGACTAGGGATACTCCTGCTGTGTGCAAGACACCTGCTCTGGACAAGAGTAGTAGAGAAAGCATCTGAGCAGCCAGATCTGAATGCAGAGGAGAAGAAAGGGTTTTGGTTTGGGAGGTAATAGTGGGATCACAGGGTGGCAGGGTAGAGGGTGCGAGGTTTGGGGAGAATAACAGAGCTGGTCAGAGGATATGGCTGCTGGCCATGTGAGAAGTGAGGCAGTAAAACCATTCTTGTCCTGCTAGTCTTGGGGACACAAGTCCAGAAGGACTTTTGTCCCTAGCTACCACACTTGTGGAAGTAACACTGCCAGAATGGTCTCCAACAAGTTAGGGAGATCAGCAACTACTTTCAAGGAGCAAGAGTTTCAGTAGTGTTATCAGCAACTGCCAGAAGTCTGAGAAGGGGCCATTAGTAGGACATCTTTTCATAGGAAAATGTCACAAACACTTCCCTTCTATTCTTTAAAGAGTAAATAAAAGATGCTGAGGTTCCTGTAAGACCCTCAGCACTGCACTCCTACCTTACTGCCAATGATGGAGCGAACTTCATCATCCGGCGAGGTGGGGGTCCCAGATATATCTGGGTTGCTGTTGCTGAGGCTCCGTGAGCGGTTGAGGTTAAGGCTTGCTGGTCGGACAGCAGATCGAGCCATGGTGGCATAATGCACTGATCCCCCCAGGCCACCAGGACCTACGGTGGTGTACAGAAGAACATCCTGGTTAGACCATCAATCAGCCTTGATCCCATGCTACTTTATGCCTGACTGATGCAGCACACCCTTTGGATAACCAGCAGATGTAGCCCATAAGGAAATCTTCCCTATGCCTTCCCCTGCCTGTTTCTCCAAGGCAAGTAGCAGGGAGAAAGGGATGGGATTAAACTATTTTATCCACTGATGTCTGGGAAGCACGAAGCTCCCGGTGGATTTAGGCAGCTGGTGTGAGGTAATGCTTTTAGCCAAAGGGATATTTTCCAGACCTCAGACTTGAAAACAACCAAAGGACTGGGCACTAAGTACAAAACCTTCCCAACACCTCTCAGAGGTTTTCCCCTCCATGTAAGAAGCAAGTGCTGTGCACAACAGTCCTTCCAAAGCCTTGTTTTCTGTGGCTGTCACTCACACCACCTCTTCCCCCATGCAGATACATCCCTTGTTCTCAGCAGGGGTGGAATTAATTGCTTTCCCTCCTGAACCCAGACATGTATTTTCAAGTATTCCACGCTCCTTTGCCAATGTTTCAATGTTTGCTGGAACTGGATAAAAGTACAAAAGTACTAGTGAGGGAGAGCAGGAAACATGACAGGCCAAGAGTGCACCACATCTGTGCAACTTGCTACAGAAAACAAAACTAAACCACCAGATTTTTGCCATAATTTAGCCTCATGGTCTTTCATCAGTGATGATAAAGATTATCAAACAGTTAAATCTCTGACATGGCTAACTGTAATTAAAGTCATCTTGTAAATGGCTACACTGGATCATAAAGAAAGTTAATAAGAGGGCTTGGCAGGGAACCAGCCATGCAGTTGGAGCTCGAGAGCACCTGCCAGCAAGCAATTTCTGCTTGCTTTTATCACACTGGGACTTGAAATAGAATGAAGAAAAGAGCTACCTGGTGATGGTGAGTTGGGATAGGTATTTGGTAGGCGAAAAACATAATAAATATAGGAAGCAAGAAGGCTGTTTCTGCCATGCTGGTCCTGGTTTCCATCCAAGTTCTTGTGGAGTCTGTTTATGATTGATGCCATCGCTTCAAAAGATGCTTGGCCCAAGTTAACTGAAAGTAATGTGAGGAGTTTGGGTTAGAATGCAGCAAATCCTAAATGCACATTTTGTCCATCTTCTAAAGGATAAATGGTGAAGCTTGTTAGATTACAGCAAGCGTTCCTCATCAAAACTGAGCCTATTTGAACTAGGTCTAATAAACAGCTTGACAGGAAGACAGGTGTTGCAGTGATAAGGCTCCACTTCTATTAATAACCAATTTAATGAAATTAGGCCTGTTTTCTGGAATCAACCCAACTTTGGTCATCAACTGCAATGGTAACAAGATCAAGTCCTTGTTTAACTGATGGATAATATCCCTTGGATGTTTATTGTGCTTTTCTCGGTTAATTGTTTCCTCCATTTAAACCTTAGCCAAAATATAAACTGTCTCCAACAGAACAATTCCATTCTGCTTCTGGAAAAAAGAAAAGTGTTCTAAAAATGAGCACAGAAATCTACACAATATTCTAAACAAATTGGGGATGAAACAAGCAGCTGGAGACTGTAAATATTAGGCTTTTATAGACTATGCATGAATGTCCTCCATGCTCCGTATAGACAAACTAAACCAATGCAGAGCAATTAAAGATTAAATGATTGCTATTTTTAAAGCAGTCTTAGATACCTATATTCCACCATGTCCAAACTCAAGTTTCCTACAAAAAAAGCTACTATTTTAGATACCAAGGGTCTAATCCTGCCTTCCACTTGAGATTTTTTGTACTGTCACAGCACAGCCCCTAACAGGGAGCACAAAGAAGGATTATTCATGCTGACAGTATCAGATCCACAGTAGCTTCAGGAACATGCAGTATCTCTATCTTCTTATCTTACCTACTTCAAGATTTCCAAGCTGACCAGGAAGGTCAAAATCCTTGGTTTCTGAATGTCAGTATAGAGACACCTCAACAGGCTCCAGTGCTAAGAAACTGTTGAGCATCCAACTCATGAAAGTCAGTCCCCTTTTTGGGACTCAACTTGAATGCCAAATTACTAGTCATTCTTGGAAACCTCTGTATTAAATATTGCGTCTGTGTATATCACTACCCATCTGGATGCCAGCACGTTTTATTTGGAAGACACATGGTATATTAGTGGCACTAAAATAAAGCATAAAAATGGACTTTTTTATTTCTGCATAAATATGATAAAATTGGAAGTGTCAAAGTTTCAGCTATATAATTCTCTATAAAACTTAAATAGAATACCTATTTGGCCTGCAATGACAGGAGGTCTTACTACCAGAAGAATCAGTTTGTCAAGCAGGAGATGAAGAAATCGCACTACCGGCTCCAGTTGAGAGGAATTTAAAGCTGAAATGCTGCTCTTCAGTTCATTTTCCAGGTTGTTTTCCATAATTCTCATGTCTCCTATTCGCACAGGGAACATGTGCTCATCCAGAGCATGGACAAGTGCAAAGAACTTGTCCAGATAAGGGTCCTACAGACAAGGAAAAAGCCCCAATAATCAGCAAGAAGCTCCAAAAGTAACTCTGCTTCCTATGGATTTGGACCTCATGGACAGAGTCTCTCCCTCATTCTTCTACCTGACTTTAATCTCACAGGATTAACAGAAACTCAACAACTTTGAGAGCTCTGCCCATATGTCTTATTCAACTGAAATAGTTCAGAAGGAGTCAGGGCAAAAACAGAGGTCCCACAGACTTTGTATCCTTATTAAAACAGACAAAAATGCACTAAAATCATGTTACTACTTAAAGCACAAATAAAATACACAAAAAACCCCACCAAAATGACGCACTGGGAATTGATAAAACAAAAGTTGAAATGATTAGTCAAAATGATTGTCATCTTCCTTTGCAGATCAAAGACAAGATGAAAAATACATGGAGAAACAAAAGAGACAGAGGGGAAAAGGGAAAACAGGGAAACATCATATGTCTGGACTCTATGTTAGACCTGTTGTATTAAACACAACAGTCTGAGGTCTGAAAACACGGTTGGCCATTCACCCCGTGAATAAAGACCAAACTGCTCAGACTCTTAAGCAGAACTTCAATATACTCACAGCAGAATGTGGAATAACAGGTCTGCTGGCTCAGAACTGAAAATGAGATCGTAATTTCACTACAAGTGATTATTAAACTCTCCACAGTATCAACTTTGACAGCATTTCAACAGTCAAAAGACTATCAAAGACCATCAAACTATTACAATGACCGCTCTTATCATTTACCTGAGTGTGGAGGGATGATACAGCAACAACTTCTACATTGAAAACCCCTTTGTGGTTATCCACCCACTTCATCCCAGGGAGTGGAACCTGCAGGTTAAAGAAAGATCATAGAATCCTAGAGTGGTTTGGGTTGGAAGGGACCTTAAAACTCATCCAGTTCCAACCCATTCCCCCTTGCCCTATCACTAGATGAGTGAGGATGTGACAGAAAGCAGAGCTAAGGCACTTGAACAACTCACCTCTGGAGAAAGCACTGAATAAGCCTGCGGTGGTTTCTCCAATGACACAGGTAGGCAGAACTGACCAGTCTTTAACCGTCCATTTTGGAGCATTGGTATCCACTTCAGTGAGAAGGAATTAACAAAAGAAAGAACAGAAACACACACTTCTTAAGGCATTCTTGAATATGGCAGGCTTGACTGTCAAATTCTCAAACTGTTATGGTGTATGAGTTGACAGTAATGCTCAACAAACTGCAAACACATGCACTATGACCATATCCTGCGCTGAGAAACAAAGACTGAAAGATACTCACGGTGTATCCAACTGGAGTTTCCAGGGGAGTGTTTTGTTTTTGCTGACAACTCACATGGTAGAAAGTAAAAAGCAGGTGGTGGTGATCGGTTAAAGTGGCTGGAAGCTTAATCTTGATTTCCTCATGAAAATCAGGCGATCTGTGCAGAGACCAGAGCCTTAACTGAGTCACCATCAATACAAACAGTGTGTTTTACTATCCTATGCTCAAGATGGAATCCTTTGAGTTGAAGTATCTTGGGGGAAGGAAGTATATGGACCATCCCAAGGGATAAAAGCTTCACTTTCTGATCATCAAGGACTGGAAAAACCTTGTATATGCAGTTACAGTCCCCAAAAGTTGCAGCCCCCACCCCACACAGGCACTGCCACAAGCCTCAGCCTGCAGGACAGGATTCTCTCCCTGGTGCATCTCTCCCTGGTTCAGCTGCAAAGACTGTCAACATGCTAAAGCCAGATTCAGCACTCCTTACCCCATGAAATTATTTTCCAGACCAAGTACTTCCAATTTGTAACCTAAGTCTAAAAGATTCCAACAAAATAACAAAGCCCATGCTAACGTGAGTTTATAACGTAAACCTTTGTGACTACTAACTTGAAGGTTATACTTAGAGCATCTGCTGAGTTGGGTACGTGCTTGGGATCACAGCTCTGACACAATGGTGATTTGTACCAGAGCAAACAAAGACTCTGGCTCCTATTCATGGCAAAACCCTAACTGACACTGAGCTGTTGTGAGAAAAAACTGACACTGCAGTTGTTGTGAGTGCTACCCAGATAGTCACTGTTAAATAATGAACAGAGTCACTGGGGAGTTACTCCACTTTCACACTGGTAAAACTTCCTTTGGGTGGAATCACATTACCCATATGGTGTCACGGCTTTCCTCAAGCTGTCACGTTTTACCTGTTGTGATACACTACAGCTGTATATGCTTCTTTGGAAAACTCAGGACAGCTAGATTTGCCAAAGATGACCTGCAAAACAGAAAGAAACCCATAGAAATCCCCCTGTAAAACCAGTAATTTATTCCATAATCCCACAGAGACATTTACAGCTCCATTCACTAGTCTGTGCAGCTCTGGACAGTTACATCTGCTTGTGCTCCTTCACTTCCATGCAACGTTTTACTTTGTCACTGAAGAGTTCACAACTGTACTAATCCCAGTTACACAGGCACACAGATATGGATGAAGAACTGATAAACGGAACCACTCCTGTGCAGATCTTCACCAAGTGCTGATCACTTCTGGCCCTGAACTCAAGGATAACGATTACCTCTAACTTTTTTGTCATGGAAGTGAAGATGCTGTTCCAAACACAAGGGTGTCCACTGCAAAGGTCTTAAGTTAAAATATTAGCTACTATATTGTTACTTTGCAACCTCTATACAAAGGAACTCTGCTCTGAAATACTGTAATTTCATATTCCTCTGAACGTGTATTTTTAAATGTATTTCAAAATACCCATGTATTTCTTTAACACAGGGATTTTACGACTGCAATGTGTACTCTGCCGTATCGGCATGCAGCATTCCCATAGAGCACAAAGTCCATCACCCACCGGCATAGCATTGCTTGGGTCCTCTCCATACATGAACTGGACTTTTACGGTGATATTCCTGGCAGATCCTTGGCGGTTGGCAAAGTTAAGGCTCTGGGGATAGACATAAAGCAGATTCCTGCAAGAGACAAAGGCACCGAGTGAGCATCCCCGTGTGAGAATGAGAGCGTTCCCACCTTTATTAATGCTGTTATTTAAACCCCTACGGAAACAAAGCGATGGGTTTGACATTTTCCATTAGCCAGATGGACTTCTCTTCAATGTAAGTGCAGACCCACACAAGCAATTTGACAATGACCCTTTATTTTAGACATCAAAAGTCATAGTATTTTTACTGCCATCATACCGTGAAATAGTTCCTGTTCATAAGGGCACTTGAAAAATACATCTACAAATTCACCAGTGATTCTGCCATCTAAGAAGTTCAAGTGGAAAGAAAACACACAAATAGAAGAGCATGGAAGTATTTATTTATTCAACATAGAGTGGCTGGTTCCTGCTAAATCCCTTCCCTTTTGAGACCTGTCCTTTTCTTCTTCCTTTTAGAATCCCCTTACATCGTGATGACTTGAGATTACACCTCTCCTCTGGAAGCAGATTAAACGAAACAGATACCTGCAGCTTTAGTGGCTATACAATCCTTGCAATGACTCACATTTAATGGTGGACACTTACTGGTAGGTTTTGAGGCCAGGTGAGGCAGACACCCCTCCTCAGAGGTTTATAGACAACTTCATCCTTCCCTAGGAAAGGGCACATTTTGGAGGCCCCTTCCAGCTCCGTGTCTCCAAGTCTACAATTACTTGAAACATAACAGTGACAAGATGCAAATTCTGCAGTCTTTGCCATCCTTTTAGCCCTCCTGCATCCCTGCCAGCAAAGTGCAGGTTGGATTCATACACTGACAGCAAAACTGTCCACTACAAGCCCCAGCCTGTGTATGGTCAAGTAATATGTACCTGCAGAAAGTCCCTCGTATGTTCTTTTAAAGACAAAAAAGACAAGCACCCGAACCATTCCATTCAACACACAGTTATTCAAAGGAAATACAGCTTCTTTTGCCCAAAACAAGTAAAAGTGTATGAACTATTGCATGTCTTTTAAAAGTCAGCCTGGAAATATCCAATCCATCTCCCACACAGCCTTGCTCACCAGACCAGCATCATTCCCCCCTCGGATACCCTGGCTCCTACAGCACCAAAAAAGCAGAACCAAAAGGGATGCTCAACTTGGGCTACAGGGCAGCCCAATGGTTCTGTGAGAGATTCACGTTACTGCATTGCATCTGCTAGGGATAAGAGACTGGCATACTATGTTTTGCCCAAACACTGAAGCAACCAGCTCTGTAACAAGCCTTGTACCTTGTAAGGTAGCAGGAAAAAGAAGTTCCTTTCCCCTCTATCACCCTCCAGGGACGATTCAGTGAATCTGAACACAATTTGTAAGTTGTTTCCAACAGTTCCTTGTCCCAGAGAGACAACAGACAACAGATGGGCACAGAAAACTGAAGTGAGGAGCACAGCAGGACAACGTTTAAGCACAATAAAGCTGCTACAGAGTGCTGGCAGCAGCAGACTGAAAACAAGGACCGGTTTTGAGTGTCAGGAAGGCAAGAACTGGTTGCTCCTTGAAGGCATCTGGTGCCTTTTTAGGGTACCCAACACTCCTGTGCTGGGAAAGCAGCAGGTCACTCTCCTGCAGGAGAGGCTGGAAAACTGAGCTGTCCTAAGCTGTTGGAAATGGCACAGACTGAGATGAGCTCTTAGGCAGAAGCTCTTCCCTGTGAGGGTGCTGAGGCGCTGGCACAGGGTGCCCAGGGAAGCTGTGGCTGCCCCATCCCTGGCAGTGTTCAAGGCCAGGTTGGACACAGGGGCTTGGAGCAAGCTGCTCTAGTGGAAGGTGTCCCTGCCCGTGGCAGGGGTTGGAGCTGGATGAGCTTTAAGGTCACTTCCAACACAAACCACTCCATGAGTCTGTGATAATGCTGGTCCCAAGGAATCCTCTAAGAGTCTCCCAAGAAAAAAGGTCAGCACCTACACAGAGCAGACCAGCTGTACAGCTCCAGACAGCTGTACAGGACAGCCTTATGAAGCCAGGCTCTTTTCCACCCCTTCAGGCATAGGAATATGCTTAGCTAGCATGTAGGAACATCTTCCTTTTCAAGTCCTTCATGGTGAATTAAGTTTTGAATCCCATCCCTACTGGTCGCTTTGGCTAATCAACGTGCTCTTACTATTTCAGAGGGGGCCTGTGCCGTTTCTGTGACTCTACTAAATTACTTTGTTCTGGCATGCATACATTTGCTCCTTGATGTTCTTTTTAAAATGAAAATGGATATGAAAATTTACTCTAAAATGTACACTGCTCATAAAACTTTTATTAAGTATTATTAGCGCTTAAGAGAAGGATTTAATGTATTTGTGAAGCCAGGCTACAGGATCACTATATTAAAGGCAGTCTTAGGACTGATTTACACTGAATAGCAGAGATGAGCCTAAACCAAGCTTGCAGTTCTCCTACCAACTCTCCTGCTTGGGCTTGCCTGCTGGAAGCAAAGGAGACATTCCACCAATGTGATGCCACTTTAGAAAGAGACCTACAGAAGCAGAAGTTACAGCTGATGTTACACATCAGGCAGGGCTTTAGCTGCATTCGTAACAGCAAAATGTACAGGCTGTTCCCCCATCCACTGCCCTTCAAGCCTTTGTCATGTGAAAGGCTCAGAGGACATTTCATTAGGAAGAAGCTCATGTTGCTTACAGTATCATAGAACAGTTAGGGTTGGAAAGGACCTTAAGATCACTGAGTTCCAACCCCCCTGCCATGGGCAGGGACACCTCACACTAAACCAGGTCACCCAAGGCTCTGTCCAACCTGGCCTTGAACACCGCCAGGGATGGAGCATTCACAACCTCCCTGGGCAACCCATTCCAGTGCCTCACCACCCTCACACGAAAGAATTTCTTCCTTATATCCAATCTAAACTTCCCCTGTTTCAGTTTGAACCCATTACCCCTTGTCCTGTCACTACAGTCCCTAATGAGGAGTCCCTCTCCAGCATCCCTATAGGCCCCCTTCAGACACTGGAAGGCTGCTATGAGGTCTCCACGCAGCTTCTCTTCTCCAGGCTGAACAGCCCCAACTTTCTCAGCCTGTCTTCACACAGGAGGTGCTCCAGTCCCTGCTCATCCTTGTGGCCTCCTCTGGACTTGTTCCAACAGTTCCATGTCCTTTTTATGCTGAGGACACCAGAACTGCACACAATGCTCCAGGTGAGGTCTCACGAGAGCAGAGCAGAGGGGCAGCATCACCTCCTTGGACCTGCTGGTCACGCTCCTTTTGATGCAGCCCAGGATACAGTTGGCTTTCTGGGCTGCGAGTGCACAAAGTAAGTGGTATGGCACTGAATGTTGTCTTCAGAAATCAAGGGAAGACAGCCCTAGATGCATATTATTAACAAGCAGTAGGAAGCAAGAGAGAGCAACTTTCTGGTGGGGCAAACACCATGGGGAGGTCTCAAATTAGCGTTCAGTTCTCTACAGAAGGGATAAAGGCAGGAGAAGGGATTGCTCATGACGATAACACTGCAATGCCAACAACCATACTAAGCACATACCAATTCAACTAAAGGACCACTGGTCCTTACGCTTCCAGGTAACAGCTACATCTTGATGATACAGAGTCACAGATTTCTATCAATAAAAGTTTCAGCCAGAAGCTTTAAACCCAAGGCCTTGTGTCAGGAGCTTTTATTAAAATGCTATGCAAAATGTATGCAAAGCTTATCCTATTATCTCAAACAGATCTCAAAAGTACTTTTACTTTCATAAAATGAATTGCTGAAGTGCAAAGGCTTCCCAAGCCATGGAAATAATGGCACCAGGCCCTCCTCTAAATATTTATATAACATGATTGCAGCCATTTTGCAGACTCCTTCATAAAGGTGTTAAAACATTAAGAGCTGATCCTAATTCTTGGAGTGAATGTCTAACTACTATGAAAATTTCCCTTTTCAGTAAAACCCAGAGACCTTTTTCTTTGCTTTATTCCTACTATAAAAATCATTTAAAGCCCATTTAATCTGGGTCACCCAAGTGCAGGAAAGATCTTCAGGATCATGTTTGTTATCATACATCTTCTCTTGACTGGGCTTACAGCTCCCTGAAGCAGGATTCTCCCTTAGGGTTTCTACAGCCCCTGAATCTTACAGTTTAATCATACCAGAAGGTTTTCTCCCCTCTGCTTTCCTGTGGCCTGCCTTGCTTATGGGCTCTGTGACTGCTGTGACATCTAAGGGTGGCATTTTGTAGTGATCTTATCACTGCCTGACTTTGTTGGCACTGCCATTAACACAGAAATATAAGAAATAGCTAAAACAGCAGGAAATCATTCATTTAAAATCCTGTAAAACTAAAGCCATTCAAACACTCTGAAATAGATTACAGAAAGTCTACACTTTTTTTTTCTAATTTTGCAACCAGTTCTTCAAGTTTTGCAGCCCAAAATCATATACCAGAGGCTGGATGTTGTTTGCTATTACAGAGCAGTGCCAGGCCCAGATGAAAACCATACCTAAAGTGAAATTCCATTGAGTTTCCCTATAGAAAACACAAATCCTTCGAAAGCACAGGCTTATTGCTTATCTCACTCTTTTAAACACTGTAAGTGTTTAATAAGGTTATCAGGTTTTATGTATCTCGGTCTACCATTCAAAGTAGAAAGTACCAGACCTTTCAGAGTTGAAGCATTAAGAACCCTAACAACTCCACCCAAAGGTACAATGTAAGTGCTGTAAATGCTGTTCAGATGCTGCACATGCCTTTTGTTTTTAACTCATCTGAACAGCTCTTCATACATTCCCTGTGCTTCATACATTACCAAATGCTGCAGGAAAGATGACTCAGCGCAAACACTCCAGGCAGGATGACCACTGTCCTGTGAATAACCCTAACTGTTCTAACACTTTTCCTAATGGATTTTTAGTAGGATGTGTAAACAGTGATTTGATGAGTTTCTTTAGAAACTAATCTGAAAAAAAAAAAGCATATTTTAACAAGGCATGAAAGCCTTCCACTGAACAGCTTCTCATGGACATCCCTTGAGGAAGCAGTCAATGTT